AATTATGCACAGAATAGAGAAATGGAAGGGTGGTTGGTTTGGGGTTTTTTTGTTTGTTTGTTTGTTTTTTCTCTCTGAGTATTCAGTCTCTGACTTAATTTAGAGCCTGTGTCTCATGATTACCTATTTTCCAGGCTTTAAAATTAGTTTGCTTAATCTCAGCAAGATAATTCTTCTGCAGCATTCCTCTTATAAATGCAAGACAGCAGTCTTCATTCCCTGTAAGCAAAAACATTTTGTATATCCATGTGAGGTATCAGCTCCTTCATGCAGTGTATAGCATATTTAGAATTTGCCTCTATGCAAAGTAGGTATTTCTGATTCATCTTATTTGAGGAAAACCATGAAATTTCTTAGTTTAAGCATGAGATTAACCTTCCTAAAGCACATACAAGTCACTTTTTCCCACTTACCTAGCAGACAGTGTCTGAATTATTTGTCCTTAGGAAGACACTGAGGACACAAAACTGCAACAATTCTGTCCAAAACCAGAATGTCTATAGTAAACAAAATTCAGAGACTGTGACATCCTTTGTGTACAATCCCTTTAACACAGTCATTTATAAATTAAAACAATCATTTAATGCTTGGAAAAGGAAATTTTGTATAGACTATGGAGCCTACTGGGAAAAACTTCTCTAAAGCAGGTGCACTTACAAGTCTTTTTTTTTTTTTTTTTTTTGAGGTGTGTGTGACTACATAGTTCTGCTGAGAGGGAAGAGGGATTATAGCTAAGCAGTGTTAATGATCTGCTTGGAACCAGTTGTTTCTTTCTGTAACACATGAAATGGTATAAAGCTTCAAACATCAAAGAGTACAGGAGCTTGTAAGGATATGTATGTTTAATGCTTAAATATTTCATTTTATCTTACATTGGTATTTTGCAGTGGTAGCACTTAGATGAACATTTAAAGACTCTTAAACATATTTATAAAGCTGATGAGGCAGTGCATGTCAGGTAAAAATAAAATAGATACAGAAGGCATAATCAGCTCCCTGGGGTATTAAAGTAATGTATTGGTCTATTTCTCCAGGTCTAAACAGATGGAACTCACCACAGGGAGTAAAATTTGAAGAATTAGGTCACAGACATGGGCTGTCTGTGTGCAGTGGTATCTGGATACTCTGGCCCTGCAAGCTGCCCAGAAAGAAAAAAGCACAGGTTGATACCTGCTTAGAGAAAGGTAGGGAGTAACTCCAAATTTGTATGTCTGATCTTGTGACTTAATCATACAGCCTTCAGAGAGTGAGTTTTGCCTTTAGTGGTAGCCTGCAGTAGTTGTCCTCAGTTAAAAAAACAAACAAACAAAAACAAACCCAAACAAACTTCATGTCCTTGTAGTAGAATTCAGTGGTTTGAAAATACTAACACCTCTCCCAAGATCTGTTTTCTTACTGACTTTGTTTATATTTCAGGTAATTTAATTTCATATAACTCAGTGCTGTATTCCCAAACCCATTATACTAGACGGTGATAAAAGAACAATCAGTAGTGCAGTCCACCTGTTTTTCATAGAAGCCATTTGCTGACCCTTTTCCAGTGGTGCATGCATCTGCTTGCAACAAGATAGATACCAGCTTTTTCCAGCCTGAAGGCGTGGGGCCTGACCCTTCAGTGATTTTGCATCTGGAACTGCTTCACAGTTATTTTACACCAGCTTAAAAAGATGTTGATACCAAAGTGCAGTGGTATGAACAACATTAACTTAAGGGACAAGGTCAAGATGAAAAACATTAAGAAATCATTGTTAAAATTGCTAACCCCTAACTCAGGCCCCTTTGAAATTGTATAAATGATCCTTGCTGGCAGTAGCATCCTCCAAAGTTCATTAACTTGAACATTATTGACAATTTTTTAAAAGATACAGTAAGTGAGGTTGTTAATACAGATAAAATATTTCAAGTACACTAATTCATTGATTTGTCATTAACTTAGAAACAAGAGATAAACATTTCTTGTTGAGACTTGCATATGACTTTGGATGATTAGAGAAAACTACCTGGATAATACCAGAAAATACCTTCTGACATTTTTAGTAGGAATGACAGGGTATGTAAACAAGTACCATCCTTTACTAGATCAAATGCTACATAACAGACATTCCTCCACTCTTCAACCCCCCACCCCCAGTTATGAAAAAGGAGTTGTTTGCTTTACTAATGTATTCTGCAGTCTGATAAAAGTTATGTCTCCCTATAGGCCTTATCTCAGGCCATTCTAGCTGCAAAAGCATAACTAGTCTCCATAAGTGATAAGAATGTGGGTTGGACTTCAAGGAACTAAGTAGTATCTTGTATCTGCTTGATGTATAAAAACCTCTCTTAAAAAATGCAACAAGAACCCTACAAGGTCTGAGAGAAGATAGCAGTAACAAAGACACACACCTCTGCTGGAAAGAGACAAGAAGCTGACCAAGCTAGATAATATGGTTTGGTACAGAGAACTCTTAACTACAGCAGACATCAAAGTCTTGGTTGAAATTTTCACAGCCAACTTCAATTGTTGGAGCTTTTGCTCCTCATGTGGTAGAAAATAATTTAAAGAAAAAAAAAATCTTAGAAACTTGACAACTTATTTCCTAAAGCATTGCAAAATGCCAGCTGCTTATTTAAGTGAGAGTTTTAGAAATGTAAAAATGCATCACATAGTAACCAGTGGTAAGCTTATTAGTACTTGTATGCTTTTCATATTTATGATTTTACTTGGTACTGTTGCATCTCTCAGTCCTATCCTGTGGAAGGATCTGAAATCAAATTTGTCTGTGTTTCCACAGAATTTTTTTTTTTTAAAGAAACTTCTTCATCACAATTACTTATCTCTAATCTCTCTGGTAAGCCTATCTTATTTTTTCAGTTTAAGTAACAATAAAAGATGTCTAGCTGAGACTTGACATCCTCACATATTAATAATTAATATGGTATAAATAATACGGCATCACCAGCATTTATATAACCCAGTAGGAACTTGGCCACTCACCTACATAAATTCCCTTCTCTTTCTTCCCTGCTTTTTGAAACACACCATCAGAAGTTCTATCAAACATATGCAGGTCTGATAAAGGATGTGCTTTACTGGCTCAGAGTAACATTTTACCTACAGGAGGTAATGAATGAGAACACTTGCAGTCACAGAAAATACTGTCCTAGAATGGGTCCCTGAGTGGCTGCTATATTCAGTAATAATGTACCTTTCTGTGGACTAAAGTATTCACACAACCAAAACAGCCCCTAGACAAAACCAGTGACTGTCGTCTCGAGCAGTCCATATTAGCAGGTACCTGGAATTAATTAACCACAGTTAACAGGAATTGGAATCTCCACTGGTTTTTGGAGTGAGTTGCAGCTATTGCAGTTTCGGGTTGTGAATCCATTGTCCAAGTGTCCTGCTGCAACCTTTGAACCCAAGATACTAGCCCTGGTCCTTGTCCCATTGTTCCTTCTCTGTACTGCCACTGTGTCCTACAGTTCTTGTCCTACATTGCCAGGAAGGGGGGAATCCCTCTCTGTTACTGCTTAGGTCTGGAAAAGCTGTAGGTACTGTACCTGAAAATTTGGCAGAGGACAGGAGGAAGTGTGGAAGAGCACAACTACAAGAAGTGGATTCTTACTGTGCAGTTTAGGAAATAACTGATTGCAACACGCTGTCAGAGTATTTTGCTTTGTAGCTTAGGCTGCTGCTAGTTAGACAGCTGTCCGCACCTGTGGCGCGTAGGAACTGCCTGTATGTTACAATCGCTAGCCCTTGCAAGGTAGAATATTAACTTTCCTTTATCCTGCCTGTTTTGTTTGGGTTTGTTTGTTTGTTTGTTTGTTTTTGTTTTGTTTTCTTAAGAGGTGAAACGGGGTGGGTAGCATTGCTTGTAATTTCAGTCCTTTCCAGGCTCCAGCTTCCTGTAAATCTACCCCGGAAGATCATCGCTTGGCCTGAACGGGCCCCACCGGGGACGGGACGGGACGGGACGGGACGGGACGGGGCGAGGGGCTGCTCCGCGCCTTGCCTTTCCCCGGCACCGGCCTT